TTCTTCCCCCTTCCCTCCTCTGCAGCCTTTCCCTCCCCCCCCTCCCCCCCACCACCCCCCCCCCCCCGCCGCCGCCGCCCGCGGCAGCCCCCTCCCTACCATCTTTGGCGCCCTTCCTGCCCTCCCTCAACTCCAGCACCTCCTGTGCCTCTGGTCCCCTCCAGCTCCCAGGCCCACAGCCCCCCACTCCGAGCTCCCTGCAGGCCCTCGCGGCTTCCCACTCTACCCCCACTCTCCCTCACCTCCTTCCCACCTCGCCCTTCCACCCTCTCCCCTCTCTTCTACTCTTCTTGTTCTCTTTTATAATTAATGATTAGTTTTAATTGGTTTGCTTAGGAAGCCTGACAGCAAATGAACAGAAGCCAGCCCAGGGCTGCCAGGCTCGGGCGAGAGACCACTACTGCACTTCCGAACCGGAACCGGCTGGGGAAAGGCAAGGGCAAGGCTGACCTGCAGACTCTGCCTCAGGCCCCGGCTCTCAGCGGGTGGGTCAGGCCACACCTGGGCTGGCGCAGTGGCCAATGGGAAGAAGGCAGGAGGATCTTCACACACGATCTGGGCTCCGGTGTGTCAACTTTCTCTGTGTGCTTTGTTCTTATTCTCCTCATATCCCCCTCCATGTTCTCATTTATGTAAGACATTGTCCACATCTTCCGAGATTAGGGTCAGGTAAAAGGAGAGCAGGGGCCCTGTCTTTAGACTGGGACAGGGCTTAATTCCGATCCCTTCCTGTGGACCTATGGGGTTAGCAGCTTGACACGTCTGGGCCAAGATCTTGCTTTGTCACATGGACAGGAGGGAGCAGGTAACAAGGCCTGTTGTCATTGTTAGCTCAGCTGCCTGCCTACAGTCAGCTACCACAGCCTGGAAGCCAACCAGACCTGGTTCTGTTTCTGATTTACCGTGTACCTCTGCATAGAACTCAACCTCTTGGTCCTCAGTTTTCTGGTCAGAGTACTTAGGTTGAAGAACATTGGATGCGTGCAGGATGGGTGAATGGGTGGACAGCTGGCGGAGAGTGGCTATGTTGGCCAGGATCCCTGAGCACGTTACTTCTGTTTCTTAGCCTGGAAGGGTTGCACTTAACTTCAGCCTTCCTAAGTGTTGGGGCTCCTGGTCTCCTCTGTGCTTCCCCCCCGGCCTTGCAGAATCCTTCCTTAACTGCGGCAGCTTTCTGATTCTCTGCCAGGCCCTGGGTGTGCCCAGTCACTCACTCACACAGGCCAGAACCAAACAGCAGGAACAGTGAGAGGCAGAGAGTGACAGGGGAAGATGCCCGGGCAGGACGGAGAGAGAAAGTTGAATTTCTCAGGTTCCCCACGGGGGTTCCAGAATCCACCCAGAGAAGTCCAGATCCCACCCAGAGACAGCCTCCCTGCTCCAGTCCGCCAGGCCGCCTGTACCAGGGCCAGGTGAGGGGCAGGACCCCAGTTCACGTCCTGGTCCCCGCACGGTAAGCATCTCCACCCTCCCCATCCCTCCTCCACCCCCAGCCAACTCCTGGAAAGTTTCCTCCCCGATTGTTCTGTGTGATCAGATCTGCAAGTTGCTCTCTAAGCTTCTTGTCACATTTTGACTTAATGAAGTGCAACTGCTGAGGGATTTGGGTTCAGCGCTCCGGTCTCCCGCGCTCCCTTGTTGTCAGAAAACAGGGGTGGTTGGGGACGGCAACACCGCGCTGCGAGTCGTTATCATTCCGGTCAGTCTGTTTAACACAAAATTAAACAAAGAACTAATTAGTGCCTCATGAATTAATAAATGCACAGTTGCTGGGGAGGATGGGAGGGGATAAAAAGGTGGTAGAAGGGAGATACTGGAGTTGTGGAGTTGGGGGGCTTTGGAGGTTCAAGGGAGGCTGGCCGGGGTGCCTTGAGAGATCTCAGGCGGGCGGGTGTGGGATGGACCGGACAGCGATGACGCCCCACTGGGCCCCTGGGCGGGCTGGCTGGTCTGTGAGCTCTGATAGCCAAGCCTGCCCAGCGCCTCTCAGCGGAGGCCCAGGATCTCTCTCCCTTGCCCCGTGGCCCAGCCCTGCTTGGCCTCCACTTCATCCAGCTCTCCTCTCCGACTGCTTGTTTTCTGCACTCTTCCCACCTCGACCCCATCTCAGCAGGGCTCCCCTGTCCTCTCTGCTGTCCCCTCTCTCTGTCCGCCCAGCTCTCTGCAGAATCTTAGCTTCCTACCATCTGGGTCAGATGGGCATCAGAGGCCCATGGGGTAACCCCCCCCAACTGCTCGATGCCCACCAGAGCCCGGTGTCCAGCAGGGTGGGCTCTGCCTCAGTGGGCACCCTCTTCCCAGACAGCCCAGCAAAGGCAGCGAAAGCTGGCAGAGGACCCAGCCCTCCTTAGGAGGATGCGTCAAGTACAATTAGCATTATCTGTCCAAATATGTCCTGGGAACGGGAGGGCGGGCGGCGGGACTGGGTGGCATTCCCAGAGCCCTGTACAAGGTCACCTCACCTCTCGCAATCCCCCCAATCTGATTTGGGGATTACACAGCCTAAGGAAATTGGTGTTATTCCTCTTGCATCATTGATAAGCCACAAAGGAGGGAGTAGGGAGAAATAAAACCTTTCCCGAGAAAAGCAGAAAACCTTTCCCGAGTAGGGGTGGAGTTCTGAAGGCCCACGGGGTGGGAGCGGGGCGGGCTCAGGCAAGGGCAGGTGGGCCCAGGTCAGCAGGCAGAGGGCTCCTTGGGTTTTCTGTCCACACGAGGCGTCTGTCCCATTTGAACCTGGCTCCCCAGGCTCACGCGCTGGGCAAGAGGGCCTGGGCCTGGCAAGCTGGGCTGAGTCACGTGTTGGCTAAAGACCCGCTACCTTGCTGGGCCATTTTCCCTCTCCCTACGTGGGCCCCCGGCATGGCTTGTGACTCATCAGTAGGACCCCAGGGTGGAAGGTGCTGTCTGCAGCCTATTCCTGGGAGTTGAGGCTTCCTGGTGCCCTGGCGCCTGGTCCACCCTTGCCCCTCAGTCACCCATATGCTGTAGATTTTCAGGGGCCAAGGGAAGAGAGTAAGGGATGGGTGCTGCTGTATCCTGTCATTGTCCCCAGGCCCTGCTGCTCAGCCACTGCCGCTCCAGAGGAGCACCCCGACCTGCACACCCACATCTCTGCCTCCACGGAGGTGTGTGCAGTATGCTCTGACTTTTCTCTCTTTGGTTAGGGGTGCCCTGAGGACCATATTTCCACTGTGATCAGCCCCTGCTGCTTTCTGAATTTTTTCAAATTTTGGTAGGCACGTCCTTTCAGATGGGCCAAAATCAGTGCCCACTCCACGCGTCTGAATTTTTGACACCCTTGGCCACCCTGGAGCATCAGCCCCTTGGCCTGGGGGTGGCAGGGAGCCCTTGGGCACACACTGGGGAGTTGTACGCGTCCTGCCTTGAAAGGCTAAGAGGCTCTTCTCTGTCCCTCCCCAGGATGAAGTGACGCCCCCACTGCGAGAGAGGAGCCTCTAGGACCCACTACAAGGTAAGGCCTGAGCCCTTCCCTGATCCGTGGGTCCTTCCGCCCAGTGGTGACCACGCCTGGCACACGTGTCACCCTGGGCTGGGCCCAGTCGTGCTGAGCCCCCAGGGTGGGTCTGGAAGATGGAGACAGGGAATTGGAACCACACTGCCCATTTGAACCTGGCAGGAAAAGATGACCCCGGTAGAAGGGTCTCAGATTCGTTCTTAGGCTGGAAATGGGCTGGGGACCCGTGGATCGCTGACTCTGGGCGTGGAATGTGTCCAAGGCAGCGTGAGGCAAAGGGGCATCTGTGGTGCCAGGGCTCAGCCGCCCGGCAGTACTGTGCCCAGCTCTCCGCAGTGCTGTCTGCCCCCTGTGGCTGCTGCCAGCTCTCCCTGGAAGCTCTGCTTATAGCTCGTGCTTGGGGAACCGCGTGGACTTGAAAGCCCTGGAAGTCCTCTCTCCTGGGAAGCTGCCGGCCCCGTGGCCTCCTCCTTCTTCCGTGGGAGGCTGGCAGGGAGGAGGCCCCGGGCCCTGAGCCCAGATCAGGCTGCTGCCCTTCCCTTCCCCAGGCACTGGGCTCCCCTGGCCTGGCCGGGCCTTCACAGGCTGTCTCAGTTCTCGGGTGGCTCGAGGAACCTCGGGGCCACCGGGCCTCGGCCCCAGGCAGCGCCGTGTCAGAGGTGACCGGTGGAACGCCAGTGTTATGTAAATAGCGGGGCCTGCCCGGCGGGCGAGCTGGCTGGCTGCAGCCATCCATCATCCGTGCTCGGCGGGGCGGGGGACAGACACGGCACCGTGCGCCTGGCTCCAAACCTGTTTGTTTTCCCTTTGTCTCACGCATTTCAGGGGCCCGGCTGTGACCGGCTCTGGGTTTTGTCCTGCTGGCCCCCTCCCCCGGGAGGACGGGGGAAGGGAGGAGGTTCGCGAGGCTCCCACCGCGGCATCCCTTTCTGACTTCAAAGGCTCCCCCAGCATTGTCTGTGCCGGCGGGCAGTGGCCCTGAAAACGTGATCAGAGGCGGCCGGTGTAGGGCAGGCCCGGCCCGCGCCCTGCGCTCTCACTGGGGCCTGTGGATTCCTCCCTTTGCCGCCAGCACCACCCTGGTTACAGCTGTGCTCCCCGGGCCTCTCTCCTCGCCTTTCTCTCCCCTGGCATCCCTTCTGGCCAGCCCGACCCTGCTGCTGCCCCACTCCCGTCCTCTCTTAGCCAGAGCCCAACACCTCTCTCCTGGCATCAAGACTCCTAGCATGTTGAGAGCTTCAACTCTCCGCCCCTTCATATCATCCCTGAGACTCTGAAGCACCGTGGAGGGCTTAGGATGCTGGGAGCTGGGATGGACCAGTTCCTGGACATCTGTTTCCCATCCAGCCCTTGTTC